TTTTTTATGGAGACAGGATCTCACTCTGACCCAGGCTGTTCTTTCTGCCTCAGACTTCCAAGAGCTGGCACCTCAGGCATGCACTGCCATACCCAACTAATACCAAGAATTGAAGTTCAGTGTCATCTCTACTTTTGAAAATCTTTGGGTGATAACACTATGGATGAAAAGGACACAAGTCCCCTTTTATTTAGGAAGGTCTACTCTAACGACTGCCCACTAATTTAATATTTTTTTCAACTATGTTTTTATAAAGATTGTAAAGGAAATATCAACTTGTCCATTGATATTTTGCTAGTATACATGGGCAGCTGAAAGAATAGCTTCACTTTACACAGGCACATACACGTGCATGGTGTTCAGTATGGATATCTCTCTATATATGTGGATATATATATCCATCCTTGCATAAGTTGCTATTTTTGTGATTTGCTATCTATTGAGAATAAAATACTGCCACCTGGTGGAAGTTGGAAGTTGAAATATCAGTGCCTTCAAAGTTCACTCAGCTTTGTTCAACTTGGTAAATATCCATTTGCTTCCATCCTGTCTGAGGTCATCTGCAGAGTACCTGGTCACAAAAATAAGTAAGACAAGGTTTCTGCCCACAAAGAACACAATATCACAAGCATGAAAGTGTGAAAACTACCAAGGTTATGCCTTGGACAAACTGCAGTACAGAGGACCGCACCCAGCAAGGGCATGAGGGAAGGCTACCTGGAGTGAATGACTCTTGCCTGGTGGATTTCTGAGAAGTAGTTAGGTGCAGTGGGGAACAGTAGATGAGTGGGAACAGCATGAACCGTAGCCTGGAAATATGAAGAAGTGTTAAGTTTTTCAGAGAAGCAAACATTTCATAGACTTAGAACTTAAAATTTGGGAAGAGGAAGAGACAGAAGATGAGATTGCCAAGCTGTCACAGACTGGTCACAGAAGACATAAAATACCATGCTGCGATTGTACTTTACTCTGTTAAGTGGGGCAGGGAGATAGTTAAGATTTAGTAGATCAAGCCTTGGAAGAGAGGAGCATAATTTGAAGGAATGAAGATAACTATGATGGATCTGGCTTAAGTTCTATCAGTGAGAGAGAGGCAGGACAGGGGAAGTTACAGAAGGCCATGTGGTATTGGACTCACATTCAGAGAGTCTCAAATATCAACATTTACTATTATCTTCAAATGAAATTGTGCATTCAGTCTCAGATACACACTGAGAATTTTGAAAGAATATATTATCAAATGATTTTAAACTTGTATTCTAATATATTGATACATCCTGTAACACAGTCTGAATTTTTTATAAGTCCTATAATTTTCTCATGAATAACACCATTTTACTTGTATTGAAACCATTAGTTCATTCAATTTAAGTATTTAATACATATAAGTGATAACTAATTTAGCATTTTTTTTTTACTGTTAACATACTGAAAGTTTCATGAAATGAAAGTGTCTTAGGCCTTTTTTGAGCATTGCAGAGGTCTAGTTAGCCAGTGGTGAAAAATTAGATAAAGAAGAGAATTGAAAAATAGTTTTTGAAGATTCCTGAGCAGACATGTCATGTATTCATTATAAACATGGGATGGCCAACTGGTAGATTAAAGAGAAAGGGGGAATCTAAATAGACTTCCTGGTTTCTGCTGAAGTGTCTCATAGATGGTAGCACTTTTAGCTGAGGCACAGGTAAATGAAAGATAGGGCATGTTTTATGGGAAAAGAAATAGTTTCATTTTGGATATGTGGAAATTGAAAGTCTTGAGAGCTAGTCAAATGGATTTTTCTAGGTAGCAATTAAATATGTGAAATTGAAGCTCATGGCAGTGTCTAAGGCTGAATTTAGGAATTATCAGCCTAGGGAAGGTAATTAAAACTATGAAAATGGTGAGATCACTTAAGGAGAGCTTGCAGCCTGCAAAGAGCAATAAACTCAGCTTGCTTTCTTGGGATTCTTCTTAAATCTGAAAGATGTTTTCACAAGGGCAGGTGAGTTAACCTTTCTTGTGCAAAGTGTGACTAACTAAAGCCATCTTGATGACGAAAACATGTAAAGAAAAGAAGAGCAAACCAGTAAACAAACTAGGTTTAGAGGAGGAATTTGAAATTCTCTGCTAATTGATGAAACCAAAATGTCTATCACAGAAGTACTCAAAGTAGAAACACAGCATAAAATAAATATTCCATGTAGAGAGAAGAAAAAATAATTGGAGAGTAGGAAATTTCAGGAAAGATTTATGAGGTTAAAGAAGAATTCTTCAGCCAGTTTTCCAGTCTTGATTCAGTGTCTTCTGTCATTGCCAGAAAACTAAGGATAAATTTTTCACGCAGTTTGATGAAGAAAAATGAAGAAGTTGGAACTGGACTCATTTGTATCTATTGGTAATAACTGAAGCTAATTTCTCAAAATGGGCACACAAAGAAAATATTTGTGGTAGGCTGAAAAATGACCACCAAAGATATTCCGATCTTAATCCCTGGAACTTATGAATGTTACCTTATATAATAAAATGGACTTTGCAGATGTGATTAGATTAGGGACTTTCAAATGGAGAGATTATCCTGGATTATTTGGTGGGTGGATCCTAAATGCAGTCACAAATTTTCATATAAAGTGCAGATAGAGGGAGATTTGACAGAGGCAAAGAAGGCCATATGACCTAAGGAAATGTAAGCAGAGTCAGAGAAGATGTGATTCTACTGGCTTTGGAGATAGAGAAAGGGCCATGAACCAAGGCATGCAGGTCTGACACTTTCTCTAGAAGCTAGAAAAGGAAAAGAAAGGACCCAAGAGAGTACAGGCCTGACCATGCATTGGTTTCAGCCCAGTGATTTTGTAAAAGCTTTCAGAACTAAAGAAAAATAAATTTGTCTTGTTTTAGGCCACCAGCTTTGTGATGATTTGTTACAGTAGCAATTACAAAACTAAAACAGTGCTTTAAACTTATAAAATAATGTTGCTAGAGATCTCCAAAGTTATTTAAAAAAACTTTATTTAGCAGAAGTAAAGTTATGTAATGTTTTGACAAAATAAAGTACAAAATAAAGCCTCAGAAAAGGTTAGCACTATTCCAGTCTTATTCTCTGGAGAATGCTGACAGATGAAATTTAGTCTTGAACTATGAGAGTGACATGATCAGTCGGGTTAGTCCAACTTGAGTAGACTAAGATTTGGTGCCTAGGAAATGCTAATAATTTGTCTACCATCCAAACAGAAAAATGAATAAATATTCATCCATTACAGTTGGCAGGGTCACTTCCATCATGGCATTTTTTGTTTTGTTTTAGCTTATTTTTAAGTTCCTATCTATGATCAGAGAGGGACCTGATTCTGTCATAATTGGAAAGCTTTATCTGTGAAGTAATTAGAGTCATTTTTCTGAATTTTCCAGTGGTCTTTTTCAGGCCCTTCTCAGGTTCCAGAGTAATGATAGAGAGATGAGACATAAAGTGCTCTGGTTGGGTCTTTGGAGGGTAGAGATTGTCCTGGCTTTGAAGTATGAGGCTTGAAAAGGATCTCAAAGATCCTGTCAACTTGACATTGCTTCCTGATTGCTCTGTATGTGATTATCTACCTGATCCAGATCTCCAGCCTTTCTTGGGGACTACGGTCATACCAGCAGGAATTTAGACAAATACATCTGTCCATATACCCCTTGTGTGTCATGTAAGAATTGGATTGAGGACTTCATGGAAAAATGGACAGAGCTACCTACATTACATGAAATTTTGATTAACAATGATTTCTATGATCTCCTCAGAAAGATGTTTTACTTAAATGACATGTCATGGTATTTATTTGGAGAAATACAATGTCACAAAACATTCACAACTGTTGAAATAACTGAAGTATTCATTGTTTTACTTTGCTTTTTCAGTTTACTGGGGCTTTGACAGTTTAAAAATAAAGCTTGGAGAAAAGTTACAAAGTAGGGTGTAATAAATTTCTTAAATACACTAAGACTATAGGTGCAGGAGTATCACTGTTACTTTCCTGGTTTGATCATTGGGAGGTATCCAGTTGATATACAACCTTCTGAGGGAACTTGATTTGGAGAGAAGACAGAGAAGGATTCTCTATGGTTGGAGGAATGTGGATTACGTTGTTTTAATAGAATACATGTTATGATAAATGTCAGTCACACACTCATTAATATAACTTAAGGCTCCTCCTAGGCTTCGGTGACCTCTGGACCCCCAGGGAAGGTGGGAAAGAATTTAGGAAGACCCCGATTTCTCACTGGGCATTGGGGTGAAGCCGGTGGCCCTAACCTGTGGGAGTCAGCTGGGGGAGGAGTGCTGGGCCCACCTGGCCACCCCCTTCTGGCCCTTAAGTGAGAGCGAGATCCCAAGGAACAGGCATGCTTGCTGGGTACGGGTGTCCTATAGAGGCAGGGATGTGACCCTCCCAGGTGTGAGCAGCTCAGGCGGCTGCGGTGGGCGTGAAGGTGTGTGTGGGGGTGCCCAGATCACCACCTGGCAGCCCCACGGCCTGCACCAGCTGGGGTGGGCGACTCAGGGTCTGAGTGGAGGGGGCGAGGGGCGGCAAGAGCGGGGGTCCAGGCCTTGCTGCTCATGAACCTGCGCCGGTGGGGGATGGGGCGGGGGCGGGGAGCCCGGCGGGGGAGGGGAGAGTCTGGGTGGGCCGGGATTGCGGGGGCAGGCGGGGAGGTGGTGGTGAGGGAGGACGGGCTGCGGGCCTGCCTGGGCGGCGGCGGGGGTGGCGGCGCCGCTGCAGTGCGGGTACCCGCTCGCTCGCTTGCCGGTAGTCCCCGCGCCCCGCGTACCGGCGCAGCCACCTCCTGGCCTCGGGCGCCGCGCATCCAGGTACGTGGGGCTGGGCTGGGGTCTGTGTCGGGATCCCCGGGCCTGGGACTCCCCTCAGGCATGCGGGAATCTAGGAGGGTTCGGCCCCCAGGGAGTGGGGGGGGGGTGAGCGGGGCGGAGCCGGTCCTGGGGCGCCCAGTCAGGGGTCCCCGGAGGCTCCTCACCGGCGCAGGGGCCGGGGCTGGGGCTAGGGCTGCGGGATCTTGGGGTGGAGGCCGCTTTCCCCGGGGGCGGCTCGGCTGGGCTGTGGTCCTGCGCTCTGCGGTGCGGGGCGGGAGCAGCCGGGCCTGGCCATGGTGACTTCGCCTGCGCGGCCGCCGCGTTTGTTTCCCCCCATTTCCCCCGCCCGGCTCCCCTTGTTTACCTGCGTTTCTGCTTTTTCCTGTGAAAAGGCCCGCCCAGCCCATCCACAGCTTTACCCTCCTCTCTCCCTCCCCTGAGGCCGCGCGCAGGGACCCCCCACATTCACATTTCACACGAGTGCCCCCAGAAAGGGGGGATGGAGAAGGGCGAGGCCCTGTAACCCCCGGGATGGACCCACAGGGCGCCGGGCCCCCCTACTCCTCCCACCGCGAAATCCTCGGAGCCGCAGAAGGGACTTCCCAGCCGCGTGCGCCTGTGTCCGAGCCCCTCACCCCTGCCGGGTCTGTTGAGAGGGAAAGCTCTGGGGGTCGTTACGTTTAACAACTCACCTGGCCCCGCGGAATGAAAGATCTTTGACAAATGCAGAATCAGTGACTTTCTTACCTGCTCCTTGGAGAAGCCTGATTCACGCCGCCTGAGTTTATCAGGCGCGCAGCCCCGGGCCGCTCTCAGGCCTCAGTGATCTGTTTTCTGGACAGGAAGGAAGCAGCAGCACTCGCCATGGCCTCCCCGCCCGCCTGCCCCTCGGAGGAGGACGAGAGCCTGAAGGGCTGTGAGCTGTACGTGCAGCTGCACGGGATCCAGCAGGTCCTCAAGGACTGCATCGTGCATCTCTGCATCTCCAAGCCCGAGCGCCCCATGAAGTTCCTCCGGGAGCACTTCAAGAAGCTGGAGAAGGTGAGTGGCCCCCACCGTCCCACCGTTTCCCTGTTTTCTGCAGTAGCTGATAGGGACAGGTCTTTGGGGAGCTTTGGCGAAGTCTTTGAAATCTCATGCATGTTCTATGTGTGGGTATGTTTAACTGGGAAGAATGCCCCTTAGCTTGCAGTGGCTTCTCAAATGGAGCTGACATCCCAAAATATAAGCCACCTAACAGGGCCCTAAAATTCCACGGGAGTCTCATTTTCTGCTGCGTTCTCTTGACCAGTGAGGTGCTATGGAATGCTTGCAATAGAACCAGGAAGTGTGTCTTTGGGCAGGGCGGTAGCCCTGGTGAAGAGGGGCAGGGTCTGAGCCACCCCCTCGAGGCCAGCCAGGGCTGAGTGGCAGGAAGAAGCCTCCCATGGAGGGTTTTTCTCCACTTGTATCTCAAGCAGGGTACATGTTTGTGAGGCTTTCATAAAGCACCTGGGATAAACCCACACAGACTGGCAGGGATGGCCCAGCTCTCAGGGTGCCATCCAGGCCAGCTGGGCTTGGCCTCTGGTGCTCCGGCCTTCGTGAATAAGTTCTTCTGTGGTGGTGACTTAAGCTGACAAACTGTTCCTTATTTGATGGCAAAACACAGCATGGGAGTTTCCTCAGCAAGATGTGATCTTTCAGAAGATTATGCAAAATGACAACATCATCAATCTTTTTTTTTTTTT